TTTCCTCTCTGTGGCAGCCCCTCAAATATTGGAACACTGCTATCTTGTCTCCCCTGATCCTTCTCCTCACTACACTAGTCATGCCAGGTTCCTGCAACCGTTCATTTTATATTTTAGCCTCCAGTCCCCTAATCCTCTTCGTTGCTCTTCTCTGGACTCTTTCTAGAGTCTCAACATCTTTTTTATAGTGGTGTGACCAAAACTGGATGCAGTATTCTAGGTGTGGTCTTGCTAAGGCTTTATAGAGTGGTATTAGTAACTTCACTTGATCTTGATTGTATCTACCTGTTAATGCAATTTAGGATTGTGTTGACTTTTTTGGTTGCTGCCACACACTGCTGTAGAAGGGAAGGTACCTGATTCTATCCTTGGATGTGCTTAATGGCTGTATCTCCACTTTCATAAATATACATTCTTGCCTATCCTATATATCTTTTATTTGCTCACATTCTTACAATACTCTATTCTTGTTTATGTTACAATACAATTGGATGATTGGAATTCGGACTTGGGTACCTACAGCTTTTTGCTAATACTCTGCACACCACAGTGTTTCACAAAATGGCTATAAAAAGCCAATTTGGTTTATTTGCCTAATGACTAGACTGCTCAACTCTGAAAAACGAGTCCACAGAACTATGCTTCAGATTAGTTTCAGAAAGATTAGTTATTGTTATGCTCCGATGAACTTTAATCTTATCATCTCATCATTATGGCATGGAGTTAATATCCATAATGGTTTGGATTTTGATGGGCAACCTGTAATATGACGAGGCTGAGGGAATGAAGTAGATTTTGGATGGAATTATTTCAAAGTGGTGACCGCCCCAAAAATCCTTTTTTTTTTAAATTTTGGTAACTTCTGCTTTTTGTCTACCTAGGGTTGGTTCAAGCCATGAACAGGATCATTGTTTTCACAAGCCTGGTCACAAATTGCAAGTCTGTATACAGATCCTTTCACCTGGCCTTAAATGACAATCTCCATTACAAAGACACCTCTTGCAAGCACTAATAAACCCCTGGTTGTGGTGGTTTTATCTTTGCTAATTGACTTAATTTCAAAACAATCCTCCTCATCTCTTTCATTTCAGATTAACTAATCTGGAAGTAAAGGACGTGGTGGCTCAGTGACTAAGAGGCTGAGCTTGTCGATCAGAAAGGTTGGCAGTTCGGCAGTTTGAATTCCTAGCATCGCGTAACGGAATGAGCTCCCGTTACTTGTCCCAGCTTCTGCCAACCTAGCAGTTCGAAAACTTGTGAAAAATACAAGTAGAAAAATAGGAACCACCTTTGGTGGGAAGGTAACAGTGTTCTGTGTGCCTTTGGTGTTTAGTCATGCCAGCCACATGACCCTGGAGATGTCTTCGGGCAACGCTGGCTCTTTGGCTTTGAAACAGAGATGAGCACCGCCTCCTTGAGTTGGGAACAACTAGCACATATGTGCGAGGGGAACGTTTACCTTTAATCTGGAAGTAAACTAAACATTTTCAATCAAATGTATCTATTCTTTATAACTGCATCCCATTTCCTCTGCAATTATAACTGGCTTATAAGATTTGTTGTTTGTGTAAACAAGATTTGTTTTGTTTTGTTTGGCCTTCTTCCCTGCTAGGAGCTCTGAAATACAGTGTTTCACCTGGGTTGAATTTGATTCAAATAATTGGATTCTGTTGCAGATAGAAGCAAAGTTGACACCATTAGGGGAAGATGAAGGAAACCATGCTGATTTGAATCCCTGTTCTCGCCGCCTAACTGGCTGTACAATTTTCTTAGGCTTCACTTCCAACCTCATCAGCTCAGGTGTTCGCGAGTCCATCCGCTATCTGGTGCAACATAACATGGTATGGCTTGACTGAGAAATGTGTTTCTGCCTTTTATTTCTAAGTAAAATAAAAATATCTTTGGCATGTTTACGTGGTTGGAAACAGAAGTGAGTGTTTCAGAAAGAAGAATTAAGGGGGAATTTATTACACCACGTGGTTCTCTGACATTTAGATGGACGTACAAAGCCTGCAAAGAAAGAAGTCACTAGAAGTACTTTTTCAACCACTGTGAAAATAGATAATCAGCCATTGATGTTGTGTGATTGATGGCAAAACTTAGCAAAAGTGGTCCTTCACAGAGGAGTCGAGTAGAACAGAACAGAACCAGACTAGAACTAGAACAGAACCAGTGCAGAATAGAATGGAATTATAATAGAACAGAATTACAACAGAATTACAACAGAACGGAAATAGAACAAAACAGAATAGAAATAGAACAGTATAGTATTAGAATGGAACAGAATAGAAATAGAACAGAACAGAATAGAATTAGAACAGAACGAAATAGAATAGAATAGAATAGAATTCTTTATTGGTCAAGTGTAGTTGAACACACAAGGAATTTGTCTCCAGTGTGTAAGCTCTCAGTATACATACAAACATACGGTGTACTTACAAACATAAGCTCTCAATGTACATAGAAACAACAAAATGATAAATCATAAGATATCAGTAGAGAAGGTAATAAGAAATATTAGAAGGATAAAAGCAATGCAGCCATACTACATGGGTAAATATCCTTAGTTAAAAACCCACATGAGTATAAAACCCTTAATTTCTAGGATGTAAATTGCAAACAAGCTTTGATCCTTTGTTGAGTCCTACTTTTGATTTTGTAGGTTGATGTTTTGGTGACCACAGCTGGCGGCGTGGAGGAAGATCTGATCAAATGCTTGGCACCCACTTACATTGGAGACTTTAGCTTGCAAGGGAAAGAACTACGACAGAATGGAATTAACAGGTGGTTCCTTTGGTTGTGCTGAAGGATATTCTGACCCCATCAGAAATCAGTATCTTTGATTATTTTTGTCACTGGTATTGTGCCTTGATACCACTTTCAGGTTTTCTCCTATATAATAACCTACACCTTCTCACATATAGTTGTGAGAAGGTGATCTAATTTGTGGTGTATAGAAAAGCAATGCAAAGTAGAGATCAATAGCTATTTCCTTTTTGCTTTCTCCAGGATTGGGAATCTCTTGGTGCCCAATGACAATTACTGCAAGTTTGAGGATTGGCTAATGCCAATCCTAGACCAGATGGTAACTGAACAAGACACAGAGGTGAGAGCTGGGACGTTAAGGGTGGAAAGTCTAGGTTTGAGTTGTTTTTCTGTATGAAAATTGCAAAATGTGTATGCTAATTTTAAATCTTTGGCTTCTTCCTTCATGTCCCAGGGAGATGAAAATATAATGTTCTAAGAGGTGAAGGGCAATGTAACATTAAAACCAAGTCCTAATAATATTAAATCCTAACTCTTAAGATCCAAAGTTATTTTTTTGTTTATTAGATTCATGTTTATTTTTATATTTGAAGACATCCTTGTGCTTAACTTTTTCCCATACCCATCTGTGTTGTCTAACCATCCTTCAATTCTTCCCTGCCTTTCAGGGTATGAAATGGACTCCGTCAAAGCTCATTGCTCGGCTTGGCAAGGAAATCAACAATCCAGAATCAGTCTCTTATTGGGCACAAAAGGTAGGCTGAGAAAGGAATTTCTATTTAATTCGTCATTTCATTTATTTGTGTGTAAATGCTCTTCTTTGTTGTTACCTTAAGGGAGTGCCTTCTTTTTTCTAACATCTGATAGCAATAGCACTTAGACTTAAAGGTGAAACTGGGAAAATTAGAATATCATGAAAAAGTTCATTTATTTCAGTAATGCAACTTAAAAGGTGAAACTAATAAATGAGATAGTTTAAGTTTAATTTTATTTATAGGCCGCCCAATCCCGGAGGACTCCGGGCGGCTTACAGAAGGGGAAAGAAAGGAAATAAAATAAAATAAAACAAAACAAGTTAAAAAACAACACAAATACATTCATTTCAGTCGGGGCTGGACCTCAACAATGAGGTCAACAACCCCAGGCCTGCCGGAAAAGCCAGGTGTTGACAGCTTTTCTGAAGGCCATGAGAGTGGGTGAGGTCTGGATAGACTCATTACATGGGAGGGGCCAATCATCTTCAAGCCTTACTCCCGAGTCGTCCCTTTTTTTCTTAACTGTTCTTTCCTTCTGGCAGCTCTGTGCATGCGCACACTGGGAACAGGCTCACACTGTTCTTCTGCCTCGCTGGTGTCAGACTCCGGAGGCAGCACGCCACTACCAGATGGCCTTGGCCCCCTCTCTGCCTCCGATGCAAAGCCCTTGTCCGAGTCTTCCCCAGCCACCGGGACTGGACCATGTTCCTCCCCAACCTCCTCACTGTCCGACTCTGCTGCCAGCTCTGATGGCTGCTGGTGGGCCACAACACTCTTGGACAAACAAGACCAAGAGGGAAATCAAATTAACTTAGCAACTGTGTTGCTATCTTAACAAGTTCAGTGGTTCACTCAACAGGTGTGGCAAGAAAGATCGTAAAAAAGGGACAAAACAACCGTCTTGCTTAGCAACAGAAATTTTGGGCTCAATTGTGGACATGTCGAGGACTATCTGTATTGATATGATCTTTGGTATTGCAAATATTGTTTTCCTAGTGGATAGCTTGTTCTTTCCCCCAGTATTAGAATTTCCTTTAAAACTGGGCTCCAAAGAAAGATGAATAAATATTTAATGCATAAAACAAATGCAGGAAGTGCATCTCTAGCTTCTGTGAGCCAAGCTACTTATATTTTCTCAACAGAATAATATTCCTGTATTGAGCCCAGCAATAACAGATGGATCCCTTGGAGACATGATTTTCTTCCATTCCTATAAGAAACCAGGTCTTGTGCTGGACATCGTAGAAGGTGAATGAAGATAATTTGCAACGTAAATTTGACCCTCAATAATCTGTAATAGTCTGTTTGCAACTTCTGCTTTACATCAAAAAAGCAGCTCAAGAGTTACAAGCTGCTGCTGCATTCCTTTTTTTTTTAGTTATAAAAATTTATTGAACTCTGATTAGCAAACATCAAGTAACTAAATTCACATTAATCCAAGATGCATGGAAGAGAACTTTTGAAAATAAAAAAGTACTGAAAAGCAAGTAAAGATCCTGTACATGGAGAAATTTATCATATGCGGGAGGTAAATGATGGACATTACGCTCTATTGCTGTTAAGGCAAAGGATAAAATCCATCCAATATTTGATAGAAATATACTTTCTGCCTCCAATATTTTATTATTTTAACTTTGTGATTATTTTTTTCTGACGTAGCAGCTGAAGAGGCCTTGCAAGAGACCTTTCAACTGTTATATTATCAAGAGTTTTCCAATGCTGGGAAATTACAATTTAGATGGTAAAATTAAATAGCTAAAAACATCCTAATTTTCAAACTTGAGATTAGCTCCTGTAAATAGATGCAGTAAAACTAACTCTGAGGGAGTATACAGTTCTTTGTTTAGTAAAGATACTTATCTCCCCCAAATATGTATGGAAAGCTGACAGGCCGGATTTGAGATCTGAGTGCTGCACAGCGGTATGAGCTTCCGTCCCAGCTTCTGCCTATCTATCAGTTTGAAAGCATACAAATGCAAGTAGCCCAATAGGTACCACTTTGGTTGGAAGGTAACATCATTCAAAGGTAACAGCCTTTGGCATATAGCAGTGATGGCTAATTTTTTGTAGTCCAAGTGCCCAAAGAACATGTGTGCATGTGCAAATGCACATGCACACTCAAAACCCCAAAATGCAATGCATGCCCACCCCACAAATGCGCCCTGCCCCCTGTGCATATGCGGGTCACTCACTCCCGTGCACACCCTCCCCAGCACATACACGGTAGAGACCCAAAGGCTACCAGGCTGACGGGAGGCACACGCACATAAACGTTGGAGCTGAACTGGGGCAACAACTTGCATGCCATCAAAGAGGGTGCTGCGTGGCACCTCTGCCATATATGCCATAGGTTTGCCACCATGGGCATATAGTCATGCTGGCTGTATAATCATGGAAGTGTCTTTGGACAACGCCGGTTCCCATGGCCAAGAAATGGAGATAAGCATTGTGCCTATACATACACATGCANACATACATACATACATACATACATACAACCACAAACCTGAAATGCCTGAAGAGGAATATTTGCAAAGTTGCATCTCCTAGGAGAGTCTGCAGTGGTAGAGCAAAGATAAGGAGTCTCAGGTGTTCAAGTCCCAGCGGTCCTCAGAATTCTTCCCAGGGCTCTAATAGAATAGGAATAGAATTCTTTATTGGCCAAGTGTGATTGGGCATACAAGGGATTTGTCTTTGGTGCATAATCTCTCAGTGTACATAAAAGAAAATATACATTCGTCAAGAATCATAAGGTACAACACTTAATGATAGTCATAGGGTACAAATAAGCAATCAGGAAACAATAAATATCAGTATCATTATTATGATTGATTGGTTGATGTTCTTTGCGTTGCAATGCACTGCTGAAAGTAGCATTAAAAGCATCACTTGAGATAAACTACGTAGTCTATAATCCAAGAGTTCTTTTATTTCATTCCCCCTATTATATGATGGATAGTGTGATCTTTTCAGGAATGTCTTTCTGTCTCTGGGGAAAAGTTGAACCTAAATTTGGCTACCATTTCACAGTTTATTTCAGATTGTATCAATCTTGCAGACTCCTGGTGTTTACTCAGGCAAAATAATTAAGGAGGGGAAATGGGACTTATGCAACATGCATGTCATTATCCAGAATTGCTTGGAAGAGAAATAGTTCACTGGGACGAACTGCTAAATGCAACTTCATCACTATTTATATGGAATTGGCCATCCAGAAAATAGGGGAATGAAGGGAAATTACTCACACTTATTTTTTTTTTTCTTACATGGAAAACTCCACCTATAGGAGCCTAGAAACCCAAGAAGTATAGATCCAGGGTTCTGGAATGATAGTTACAGGACAGGAAATCTTTTAAATTCATATCTTATTTGTGACTTTATTTTCCCAGGCTGCAAATTGCTTTTCTGCCCGCCTGATGGAGAATGTCACTGGTGCCCTACCTGCTGGGGCAGTGGCTGCTGTATTAAAGCCCAGCGCAGAACTTCCCAAAGGGAGCTCAACTGTACATGGCTATGATTTTGATCATGGAGTAGACTATCATGCTTTGCTCCAGTCTTATCTCAACACTGGTTTCCAAGCTACCAGTTTTGGACAGGCTGTGAATGAGATCAATCGAATGGTAAGTGGCCGGAATGATTCCTGATGGGATGTGAAGGGACAGTAGACTAGGTTAGATTAGATTAACAAAGTCGGAAGGGAATTTGTAGGTCATCTAGTCCAATCCCCCCACCTCAACCAAGCAGGAGACCCTACACCATTTCTGACAGATAGCAGTCCAATCTCTTCTTGAAAGCTTCGAGTGATGAAGCTCCCACAACTTCCGAAGGCAACTTCATTTCCATGGATTGATTGTTCTCACTGTCAGAAAATTTCTCCTTATTTCTAGGTTGAATCTCTCCTTGCTGAGTTTCCATCCATTATTCCTTGTCTGGCCTTCTGGTGCTTT